GGGATGATTTCCCTGGAGCGGCACAGGTGAAGAGGTCAGGGCAGCCCAGAGAGTAGTGGTGAAGTGATCCTTGGGTGACAGCAGGACGTGCTGTCAGCCAAACCACCACACTCCACTGCTGTCACAGGAGAAAGGGAATCAGGCCACCTTCTGTCTCATTGTCACTTGCTCCTTTGTCACACACCTGTGTGGCCCACCCCCGGATGATTTCCCTGGAGCGGCACAGGTGAAGAGGTCAGGGCAGCCCAGAGAGTAGTGGTGAAGTGATCCTTGGGTGACAGCAGGACGTGCTGTCAGCCAAACCACCACACTCCACTGCTGTCACAGGAGAAAGGGAATCAGGCCACCTTCTGTCTCATTGTCACTTGCTCCTTTGTCACACACCTGTGTGGCCCACCCCCCCCAGTGTAAAGTGGGGAGCCTTCAGGAAGGTTGGTTGAATTCATCAGCTTCTTAGGGCTTGGGGTGCTAGGGATGTTAATAATGGGCCTGATCTCAGCCACATTAGGGATGATTTCCCGGCACAGGTGAAGAGCTCAGGGCAGCCCAGAGAGTAGTGGTGAAGTGATCCTTGGGTGACAGCAGGACGTGCTGTCATCAGCCAAACCAACACACTCCACTGCTGTCACAGGAGAAAGGGAGTCAGGCCACCTTCTGTCTCATTGTCACTTGCTCCTTTGTCACACACCTGTGTGGCCCACCCCCCAGTGTGGATAGTGCAGACTGTCCGCCCAGACAAGGCTATGCGGAGCATCCTCCAGTATGAAGCTGTGGCAGAGTGTCCCCCAGCATGAGGTTGTGCGGAGCATCCCCCTGAAAGTTGAGCCCTTTGCAGCTCTGCAGATTGTGCACTCTGAGCCGCCCCTCCTCTCTATCTGTCCACATGCTGACCCATAATCCTGTGTGTAGTCTGGCTTCCACCAGGCCAGTGGCAGAGTTAGAGCTGGGTCCTGTGTCGTGCTTGGGAGGTTAGAGGGGTGGGTCTCTGCTGCTGACACAGCAAGAGAGGGTGCTCAGGGGACATCAGATCCACAGGACATTCAGTGGAGACTGGCGAGCAGACACCAAGGGGATGGGAAACTGCTCTAACAGAATCTTCACCATGAAAGTGGCCTGAGGGGACAGAAGCTTCTCTCCATCCACACACTGGGTAGCCCCAAGGCCTCTGGCCTCCACTGGCATGCAGCCTGCCCTGGAGATGGCTGTCTGCACTGCACCCCAGCCTGCAGATGGGGGTGCTGAGAAGAAGACCAACTGAGCCCTGCTTTCTGCACACGCCTTCCCATGGCTCCCACTCTTGCCATGGCCGTCTTGAAAATGCATCTTTGCAGCATGGTGTTCTCAGACACGGTTTCCAATCTTGTGGAGGAAGGAGGTAGTAGCTGACACCTCAGAGATGAGCTTTTTCTGCCCAGTGAGAGAGGAGGAGCTTTTTAAGTGGGTGCAGGAGGGGAATTTGCCATCACAAAATATCATGCATTCCCAATAGGTTGCTGGACACTCCAGGAGGTAACAAGAGTTTGGGGCTGGGGGCTGCGCATTGCTGCTTGTCTGGCAGTTCCAGTAGAGTTGGTGACATGGCTGTATGGGTTGTGCTGTGAGGAAACCAAAGCTTTGGTCGCAAACCAAGTATGGAGGCAGACAGGGACGCAGGACAGGCTTTGTGCAGAAGACAAGGATGGGTATGATGTCTGCTGGTTTATTCAACCTTTGGTGTCAAGGCTGGTGGTAGTGAAGTCTAAGCATCTCTAAAGGTCCTCCAGGAATTTATTGGAACATCTCCAGCCACAGCTGCCAGTTGTCACAGAGGAGCTGCATCTGCCTGGCAGAAGAAGACAGAGGCAGTACGTGCCAGTGCTGGCTACTGCCATGGTGCGTTTCCAGCCAAGCTCCACACAGGACTGCTAGGACCCTCACAGGTGGAGCACCAGGCCATAGGATAGGCATTGCTGCTTGTCTGGCAGTTCCAGTAGAGTTGGTGACATGGCTATATGGGATGTGCTGTAGGAAACCAAAGCTTTGGTCCCAAACCAAATATGGAGGCAGACAGGGACACAGGACAGGCTTTGTGCAGAAGACAAGGATGGGTATGATATCTGCTGGTTTATTCAACCTTTGGTGTCAAGGCTGGTGGTAGTGAAGTCTAAGCATCTCTAAAGGTCCTCCAGGAATTTATTGGAACATCTCCAGCAACAGCTGCCAGTTGTCACAGAGGATCTGCATCTGCCTGGCAGAAGAAGACAGAGGCAGTACGTGCCAGCACTGGCTACTGCCATGGTGCATTTCCAGCCAAGCTCCACACAGGACTGCTAGGACCCTCACAGGTGGAGCACCAGGCCATAGGATTCTGATAAAAGGGTCCCTCCACTTTGCTCTGCTTTATCTGTCTCCCCTGGCTTCCAAATAAGATTTCCACTCTGCTGTTTCCTGTCTCTTCTGATTCAGCTACTTTGTATCAGTACCTCATTTATCATCCTAATATTTCTTAGGCAAAGCAGGCAAATACAAACATGGACATTTTTCTCATTACACCAATTTCATACAAAGGTAGCACACTGCCTTCTGCTCTGCATCCACTTCCTTCAATAGCAGTCCATGTCTTCACACCTTTGTCCCTTTGCAGCTGTGTAGCCTCCACCTGTCCAACCCCTCCCTGTGGGCTGACTGGTGCACACCCAGTTGGCACCTCTGTGCATGGCAAGTGCCTGGCATGCATGGTGTCTTTATGCACTGTGGCATGTGGCCCCTTCTCCCTAGGCATCCAGTGGGTTAGAACTGCGTCTAAGGTCCTAGGAATTGGCACCACTGGTGGAAGGGAGGCTGAGTCGCTCTCCCCATAAAGTGGCTCTGACCCTGGGGTTGATCCAGGGCTGTGCTGAACTGCAGGCACAGCAAGACTGGCCAGCAGACTCAGGCCCATGGCTGGGGACTCAGGAACCCGTAGCTATGGCCAACAAGTGCAGATGACCTCTCCTTATTACCCTACAGCCTGTAGGCCAGAAGTCCCGAGTGGCCTGGAGGGAGAGATCAGGCCTGGCAGGCTCTCCCAGTCCTTGACGTGGCATGTGGTCCCTTCTCCCTAGGCATCCAGTGGGTTAGAACTGTGTCTAAGGTCCTAGGAATTGGCACCACTGGTGGAAGGGAGACTGAGTCGCTCTCACCATAAAGTGGCTCTGACCCTGGGGTTGATCCAGGGCTGTGCTGAACTGCAGGCACAGCAAGACTGGCCAGCAGACTCAGGCCCATGGCTGGGGACTCAGAAACCCGTAGCTATGGCCAACAAGTGCAGATGACATCTCCTTATTACCCTACAGCCTATAGGCCAGAAGTCCCGAGTGGCCTGGAGGGAGAGATCAGGCCTGGCAGGCTCTCCCAGTCCTTGCCTCAGCCCCTTCCATGTTCTCACCCCTACTCCACCAGACCCTTCCTTCCTCAGCCACATTTGAGGACTGCTGTGCTCACATGGGGCCCCGGTAATTCAGGCTAGGTCCCCATGTCAAGATCGGCAGCCCTGGTGCCCCTCATCTTGCAGTGGGTCGGTCTGAGAACTCCAGGTCACGTGGGTTTTGGCTGTATCTCAGGGCATAGCTGCCTGTGTCCCTGCTGTGGCCCTTCCTCTTCCCTTGATAGCCAAGCTGTCTTCCCTTGCTCCTCCACCTCCCCAGAGCTGCTGGATCCTGTCCCCTCTGGCAGAGCTCTGAGGCTGACCTTGGAATGGGGCCCGTCTTGGCACACTCCAAGGGCAGGGACTGGCTCCAGGGACACTTTTACACAAGCTGTATGGACACAGCTCCAGGAAGACCAGCTGTGGATGCTTGCAGTCATGCCAGCAGATTGCCTCTGTTGTCAGGATGGGTAAAGCTGCAGAGGTGGGGGTGTGGGACATCTGTCTGTAACTGGTGACAGTGCCACCCCATGTGTCCCTGAAAAAGCTCCAGGTCCTCAGCACCTGCCCCATCCTGGACATGCTGGCTGCCACGTGGACTAAAGAGCTGGCGAGGGCTGTGCTGCTAGTGCTTGAGGCTTAAGCATCCCTGTGACTTTTCAGAAGGTAGCAGTGCTCTAGCAGTGTGGGGACTCTGGTGTCCAGGCAACAGCTCCAGGTCAGTGCCCCATCCAACAGCTGCTGAGTGTGCAGAGCTCGTGGCACTCAGGTGCCCTCCTGGAGACCACACTTAGCCCCTCTGGGCTCTGCCATCTACCCAGCCCACTACAGTTGGCCCAGTGGGCCATGGGCTCCTGCTCTAGCCGTGGGGCTCCACTTGTGCCCAGGCCTTCATCCCTTGGTTCTCTCCTCGAGCTGAGAAGGTGGCTACATCCCAGTGACTCTGACAAGAGCTTGAGGACCTTCAAAGGGAATCAGCGCTGAGCAAACTTGCTAGCTTTGGTGGCTTGTCAGCTACATCTGCTTATTTTTCAAAAACTTTCATTTTAGATAATTTTAGGTTTATAAAAAGTTGCAAATTAGTACAGGATGTGTGTATGCCTTCCTCCCCACTTCCTCTTACCCAATCACTGTTCAGTCTTCTGAGCCAGAAAATCATCAGTGATGGCTCCTGCCAACCATCCCACGTACATCTTCCACTTGATACTTGTACCTGCGGCCCTGGTTAGGCTTCTACCACCCTCGGGGCCATAGACTCTAAAGTGTGAATGTCCGGAGGTGCTGCCTTACATCTGTCTCACCAAACACTCTCCCACTGAGGAGGACTCCTTCTTTGCACACACTGTGATCCATTGCTGCCTTCATGGCCACGAGATGGCTTCCCACAGATGGGGACATCAGAGTTCAGCCTGGCCAGCAGTGGCTGAGCAAAAGATGCAGCCCGTGTGGTGCACACATCCTTGGCAGCCTGTGGGAGGGAGACTAAAATAAACCAAGAGGTGTGGATCGGATGTCAGCTTCCTGAGTGTACCTGAGATAGTGCCTTCAGGCACTCACTCTAAATGGGTACAATTGTAAATGGACTCTGATATGCACAGTGCTGTCTCCGTGTGCATTTATTCTGAAGTGGACCTTCTCCCTTTTACTCCCATCCATGATAGATCTTGGCTGTCAAGCTTAAATCAGGGTCATGGGTGGCACCAACTGCCATGCTTTGACCTCCCCAGAATCCACTCCACTCTGCTGCTGCTCCTGCCTCTCTTACAGATATGGAGATAGTGAGTTCCAGTACCACCAGCCACTGTGTCCACATGCGGGGCCTGCCCTTCAAAGCCACCAAGAATGACATGTACAATTTCTTCTCACCACTCAACCCTGTGAGAGTACGCATCGAGATTGGGCCTGAAGGCAGAGTGATGGGTGAGGCCAATGTGGAGTTTGCTACCCACGAGGAAGCTGTGGTGGCCTTGTCTAAGGACAAGGCCAACATGCAGCACCGCTATATAGAACTCTTCCTCAATTCCACCACAGGGGCCAGCAACGGGGCTTACAGCAGCCAGGTGATGCAGGGCATGGGGGTGTCAGCTGCCCAGGCCACCTACAGCGGCCTAGAGAGCCAGTCAGTGAGTGCCTGCTATGGGGCTGGCTACAGTGGTCAGAACAGCATGGGGGGCTATGACTAGTTATTTAGCGAGGTTGAAGTCCTCTATCAAATTGTCACAGGCAGCCAACATGCAGTGAGGAGCAGTTATGACTAGAGGAAGCTGTGGGACCCATTTTGCACCATGAGTTTGTGAAATCTGGATTAAAAAATTACCTCTTCAGTGTTTTCTCATGCACACTTTCCTTCTAGCATGTGATATTGAGTAAACTAAAACTATTATCTTCCTTCCGCTTTTCTCGATTAACATGTGGTAGTATACTTGGAGTAGTGTTTCCTGAGTTAAGTAGTTAAGTATGTTAAGGAAACTTGGATCCTTGGTGCCGACCCATGAACCACCTTGGGGAGATGTACTTTTTGGACAACTCAAAGGTGCTATATCCTTAATTCAAAGAGGAACATTTCTCGTGTTTGTTCACTCTAGGTTATATTTTCATTTAAATAAATCTTTTAGGTTAAGTTTAAGCTTTTTAAAAAGAGTTACTTTTGAGGATTGAGACACAATACTAATACAGTAGGAATTGGCGAGGCCTTGACAGTGTTCTGGTCCCCAAAGAAACTTCTATCTCAGTGCCCCTGGAAGGAGGAGTGTGGCCCTGTGTATGCAGGGTAGCTCATGCCTCTGCTCCCAACGCCAACCACAGGGGCCCAGGATCAGCTCAGAACCTGTGTGCCTCTTTCGGGACTTGTTGCAGCAAGAGTGGTGGAAGTCTCTGGAATGGGGACGCAAGCAGGGACACTGACAGTGGGAGTGGGACAGTAGCAAGTCTGGGGGGAGGTGCATGCTCCAGGAACCCCTGTGGGTCCCCAGGCCCCAGACTGGCCTCAGTGACAGCTATTGGCTCGCTGCTACTACCTTGCGACAGTGTCACTCCCCATATCAGGACTTTACCTAGTAATGTTTAACGTTTTGGGGGACATATTTTTAATACTTTGATTTAATGAAAGAAACTACTGATCCAGCCCATGAACCCTGAATCTCCTGGCAGCGAAGAATGGTCATATTTGAGAGCTTTGTAGGGCATCTCTGCCTCCACCTAGGGCCACATCCTCAGCTGCTGAGGCCTTCATGCCACATCCCACTGCTGAGCACAGCCTTAAAGAGCTTTCGCCTCCTGTAAGGGACGCTATGCATGGGCCTTGGGATGTGTGACCTGTGTGGGTGGCTGTGCTCTGGCTTCTCAGAGCCCTGGGCACCACTGGCCTCAGCTGCCCCTTGGAAGACCCTGGTGGACTCAGGAAGGGCTCTTCAGGGACATCTGGATACTTCCCAGGTGATTCCCAGTGTGGCCTGTGGCTGGGTGGAGATTCCCAAGAGTGAGGAATTGAGGCTTCCAGAGGCTTATAGCCTGCTGCCTCCTGAGGCTCTCATCCCCACCACACACCTAGGGAAAAGGACTTCCTGGAGGAGAAGCTTCCATCAGGACCCCAGATCCTCAGGTTTACTCAGGGGTGACCACTGAGTTCACCTAGCTTTACTGAGCACGTAGGAAGATCCAGGCATTGAAAGGTCCCCTGCTAAGGAGGGTGATGGGCATAAAAGCAAAGAGGACACTGACAGAGGGCTGGGATAGTTGGTGACCTGGGGGAAGGGCAGGCTCAGTGTGGAGACTTTGCATCTCTCAGCCTAAGGACACCCAGGAGCTAAACTGCATATTCCAGCAGTCAAGCTACAGCTCACCAGACTGAGGCCAAGGGCCCTAGAGGGCAAGGTGGAGTGAGGTCTCTCCTTATCCCTGACCTCCGAAGAGAACCCACTAGCTCTGTCCTTACAAGCGGGTTAGTGTCCCTTTCCAGTCCCACCATGACTCCTTCTCAGTCTGGAGTTCTAGGTCACACTACACTCAGTCCTTGGCCCTGTGTCCTTTTAACTGCTGTTTCCTGAAGCTTGGAAATCTGCCTCTGGCCACACACCACCTGCTTCTTGGGCAAGTACAGATAGTTCTAGACCCTGCAAGTGTGGCCAGCCTGTTGCCCAGTGGGCTTCAAGCCTGTAGGGTATGGGTGACTTCTGGGTTGCAGGTTGTCCGCATTCAGATGACAGGGCAGGGTGCCATGTGCAGGAAATAAGCAGAGGAGGTGCAGTGCACTCTGGGAGTCAAGGGTCTCAGGAGACAAAGTGTGTGATGGGGTGGGGGAGTGCCATGTGGCCCATGGAAAGAGTCACTCTGGGGGCGGTCATGTGGTGTGATGAAACTTCAAGGAACATTCCCAGAGCTGGTGGACCTGTGGTGACCATAAAAAATAAAGATAAGAACTGTCCAGAGGGGTCTGAGGCCACATTCAGCAACTATAAGCTCTGCTGGGGGTGCAGGGCAAGGAGGCCATGGGTGGGTGGGTCACAGGGACAGCACCCACCTCCAGGGGCAGCAACTGCCCTGGTGATTGCCACAGGGCAGTCACCAGACACGGCCTAAACATCAAGCCCAATTCTGACAGGGCCTCGGGTGCCTTATTCATGGAGGTCTGGCTGTAGACGATGAGGCTCAAGAACATGGGCCACACGGCAGTTGCCCCACCCTGAAAGGTAGGCTCCTAGCAGCTCCAAGTCTGGGCTTTGTAAGATGGTTTTGAGTTCAAAGCAGAAATTCTGTGATTACCAGCTCACAGCCTTAGCAAGTTGTGAATCACAATAAGGTTCCAACAACAGCCAGACCCACGTGTGGGAATTGCCAGGGAGTCACACAAACCCAAAATCAGCTGGGGTGGAGTTACAAGCAAATCTGATCTGTGAGAATGTCTGATGGAGGAGACAGGGCTGGGCCTGCTGCCTTCATGTATACAAGTACACATGCATCCTACCTGCACACACAGTGCACACACTTCACACGTGCACACACATCGTCACCCTCCCAGCACAGCACCCACTTTCAGGCTGTGTCCAGGCAGACAGCTGACATGAGGCTATGGATATGGTGGGGGCAAGGACAGCTGCCAGGGCCTCCAGGATTTGCTAACTTGCCCACATCAAGATAAGCCGTGTCCCCCAGGGGTGGCCTGGTGGCTCTGGAAACTTTGCACTGTGCTGGATGAAGAGGTCACTGGGCTGAGAGGAAGTGGCTGCAGGGTCTACTGCGGACATCTACTCCCCTGCACCCTTGTGCCACAGGCTCGCCCTGGGGTGGGGAGGACCATAGGCCATAGCCTCCAGGATGCCCTCTGTGCCTGCCTTGCTGCAGCCTCCTGTGGATCTGTGCAGGTGTGCTGGGAGGGTGGTGGGTGCATGTGCATGTGTGAAGCTGGTGGGTGTCATGCCCAGGGTTCTAGAGGAGCACTTTGCATGGAGGCACAGACACAGTGATGAGGCAGGTGAGGCAGGCACTGTAGGGAGTAGGAGGAAGTGGTGACCAGTACCATGCAGCCAGCCAGGCATCCAAGCTGGGGAGGGGGCAGAAGGGACAGTGGCCGTACTGGAAGATGAAAGCTGCAGGGGTGAGTGGCACCCACTGGGCTGCAGGAGGAAGGTGGAGTAACTCTGTAGGTGGCTGGGAGCTGCAGCTGGTGTGGGAGGAACAGAGCTGGGTGAGAGAGCTGGCATGTGGGCACCTGGGCACAGGATGCTGACTCTGGCTCTCCGGGAGGCCAAGGCCAGCCATGTGTCCTATAACCCTGAGGGCATATCAGACCCCAATGGGCAAAGGCCATGGATGGAGCCTGGAACAGGAGCAGGACACAGGCCAGAGCTTGGCAAAGGGTCCCTGAGCCCACCGAGGCAGCCCAGAGGGAGGGCAGTACCACTGCATGAAGACATCATCTTGCAATCCCCAAAGGGATTTGTGGAATGTCTATTGCCACACTTAGGGGGCTCTCATGGGGCCAGTAAGTAGGTGACAGTTGTGCTCCTGCCTGCAGGAGGCTAAGGGGCTGTAGCCTTCTCACGGGAGGGGTAGGTGGGGCCAGACAAGGGCTCTGGAGCTGCCCCTTTGCCAGGGCCACCATGGCAATGGCCCCTGGCTTGGCCTGAGACCCAACCATGTTCTTCTCAAGCAGCAGGGTCCTGGGTAGCTCTGGGCAGGCACCAGCCTTGGGCTGAAGACAGAAGACAAAGCAGAGGTACAGCAGAATGACTCAGTTTCCCACAGCTCAGGAACATGAAGACAATCAAAGGCTGGCATCTCTAGGCATCTGCTCTGAGCCTTAGTTTGTCCCCATGGGACTCCACAGCCAGCTATCCCCCACCCTATGGGACCCCTCAGGATCTTGTCCCCTCCTTCGGGTCCCTTTCTCTTTGAGATTCCTTCTGCATGGAGGCTGGAAGTGGTCAGTGGCCACTGCCATGCAGGAGCATGAGGGTTAGGACTTGTAGGTCTATTCTCCCAGAAGAGACTTCAAAACCAGTTGCAAGATCCTTGTGGCTAAGCCCTGTCTGGCTGCAGGACTGGGGTCTCTTGTCTCCCATTCCTGGGGGCCATGTGTGCAGTGTCCCTGTCATATGGTGGCTGGCTTCACTCATCACCATTTACAGGCAGGGAAGAGTCTCTCTCAGGGCCACCAGAGCCTGGGCAGAGGTGGTGGGAAGGCGGGGCTCAGAGGACTTCTGGCCACCTAGGGCACTGGCAGTGAAACCTGTGGGGCCTCAGGGCCCACTAGCTTCAGTCTCAGTCCATCTCAGGAGTGTGGTCCTGTGTGACACTGTGGGCAGATCAGGGGACCCAGGGCAGATGGCCACTCAGCCTGGCCCTGTAGAACTTGTGGCCCATAAAGCCTGACAGCTGGGCTGGTCCTTCTGTGACAGCCCTCAGCCACTTCACAGAGTGAAGAGAGACTGGTCTCCAGCAGCACCACCAGGGCCCTGGATCTCCCCATGTACTGGCTGCCACCCTTAACAGACACCACAAAGTCTTTTGGAGTCTGCAGCTTCCGTGGGATCCCCATCCACAGTTGCTTCCCTGAGCTGCCAACAGAGGGAGCTCTCACTCCTGCCCACCCCATACTCTAGAACAGTGTCTCGCTCAGGCTCCTGAGAGCACCTAGGCCTCTCTGGCCCACAGGGATTGTGAAGGGTCCTAGAAAGTCCCTACATTTTCAGCCTCAGGAGCCTCAGAGGGCCCTGGAGGACCCCCCCACTCCTCACCAGCTGGTTTTGTGCTTGGTCCCACTGCCCAGCCGGTGACCTCCAGGTGCCAGGTATGGCCCATACCTGTCCTCTTTACTGGCCACAGCCCAGTACCTGAAGACTCAGCCCACATGAAGCAGGGGTGGCAGGGGGAGCCCTTGGGCCCCATTTACCCCTAGCTGGGCCTCTGCTGAGACCTCACTGCTCTGCCTGCTACCCAGACATGAGGCCTTGCTATGGTTATCTTTATTTAAAGCCATGGAAACCCAGGCATCATAGCTTGTCACCAATGTCAGCTCTTCCAAAGTCACAGGATGACACCAGGGTACAGCAAGATCCCTGGGGTGTGTTTGCACTCTGCAGGTGTCAGCTGGGCTGAGTTAGATGCTGCCCAGCCTGGCACTCCTGCCTCCTTCCCTGTCCCCTCTGCCTCCCTCAGCCCTCGGTTCTGTCTCCTGGTGCCCGTGGACCTCACTCTGTCATGGTTGCAGACTAGTGTGTGTCTCAAAGAAAGTCACCTTGGCCCCTAAATGCCACTGCATAGCTAAGGAATGCCCATTGCAGGCAGGACAGGAGATGAGGTCAGACAGATGCTGCTTCATCCTGGTAGAAATCTGAGTATTTGGGTTATGCTGACCTGGGAGGCCACCTCTGCTCTGCTCTCACCTGTGGACCCATCCTCATGGAGCGAGGCCCTGGGTGTGGGTAGGTACTCAGTGTGTGGGCTGGGTTAGGTATCTCACTGCTCTCTGGCAGCCCTGACTGCCCCAGGGTCCCATCTGCTGCCAAGGCCCATGCCACTGCTTCCCTCCCCTCAGGCAGTCTCAGTACCCACCTGTTGGTGTCTCCAGAGCCACCTGGGACCCATGCCCCTCTCCGAGTGCACATGGCCCCCATTCACTGAGCCTTGGGCACCCTGTGGGAGTGGCTAGGGTGGGAGCCAGGCCTGAGCTGGTCTTTTCTGTTGCTTGGTTGTTGCATTTAAAAAATGAAATTATTCAGAGGTAAGGGGAAAAAATGAGAATCAAGACTTGCCATGTAAAGGTACATGATCCCAACAATGAATGTAACTGTACTGTATCCCTAAAATGTACCAATAAACTCAATAAAATTAAAAAAAATGAAATTATTTTATTATCTTGATGCTCAGGTTTGTTCTGGTTCCACAGGAGAACTTGAGTCTTGCCCAGGGTGTTGACCCAGGTGCTTTTTGGTGACAGACACAGGGCTTCTTGTGGATGGTGGGAACTGACTGGGCAATGGTGGTGCTGAGATTCCCCTGGTGGTTGCTAATCCAGCACCAAGGGATCCCTGTTTAAACCAGATGTTCCCCTTTTAGATTAAGAACACATTTCTCACTTCCTTTAGGTGTGGTGTCATTGAGGGGGCAAAGTGCTTCTTGGGGCAATTCCCCAGTGTAGCAGCCAGGCAGCCACAGGAGCATTGGAAACGGTGGTCTCTCTCAGGTGGCTTCCACCCACCTTCTGGGTGCCCCCACAACCTGCCCTGTAAGTCTGCAGCAATGCCTCAAACCTGGTCCTCACAGTCAACATAGCAAGCTGGGCACGGTTGATAAGGGAGCAGTAATTTATTTTTTAAAAAGGAGAAAAAAAATCTTTGCAAGGCGGTGATCTGAACTGTGGTGAAAACTGCACATTTTGATGGCAAGAATCCACGTTTTGAGAAGGCTAATGACAGTCATTCTCTCTGGGGAATAAAAGGTGGCTCCTGCCACCCTGGGCTGGGTCAGCCCTGTGTTATCCCCACTGGCAGCAGAAAGGCAGTTAGAGGAGCCCTCACACTCGGTCCTTGTTCCTGAATAGCACTGGTTGACGTCTACACAAAGGTGGGTTCTGAGGGTTTAGGGAGCTACTTCTGCTCTATGTCCCCTCTACACCCGGACCACCTGCCACTCATCGTGGAGCACTGGCCACATCTGACGTCGAAGACAGGTGTCCAAATGCTCATGACTCAGATGGAGAATATAAAACCTGCCTTAGGTGTCGCCTTGGACATTGCTTCTTGCAAGCTCGCCCAGGTCATTATGAGTTTTACAAAAGGCAGCACCAGATGTGTGAAAATAGAGGATGTCTGACCCACGAGAAACAGACAAAGTCTAATGCCGAACTTTAGAAAACAGCATAAGAAAGAGGCAGCACAGAGGACAGCGGTGAAGCAGGGTGCTGCTTACAGCTGGGAAGGGCAGCAGCCCTGGGGTGGCTGGCTGGACATGAGCGCCCTGTGGCCGGGTGGCAGGTGACTGAGGTATAGACAGGTGACGCCAGGGTGGCTGAGAAGGACTCTCCTGAAGCTCTGCCCCACACCGCTGGCCCTGCCGCCTCTTGCGGCTCCCAGTGCACCCACCACAGTAATGGTGGTGCTGCCAGGTCCTCCACAGCCTCTCCCTTCAGGTCATTGGAGGACGTGGGCATCACTGGGAAGGTGCGATGCACACCCCACTCCTGCTCTCCAGCCATGCCTGCCGGGTGCCTGGCTGCCTCAGAAGCTCTCCACAAAGCTGCCTGGAAAGAGCCCTGTGCGTCCATTTCGCTGCAGGGTCCCCTCGTACCAGCCATCCTTGCGCTTGCGGTGCACGAAGACCACATCGCCCTCCTTCAGTTCAATCTCCGCCTCGCTCTGGGGAGGGTAGGAGACCACCACGCGGTACCTGGGGACAGAGCACAGCATGAGCCCTAGGCCTTCCTCTTCCTCCCTTGAGCAAATCCTGTGTCCAGGCTGCTTAAATCCTGTGTCCAGGCTACTTTTTGCACTTCATACAATTCCTATTCATCTCTTCTTTCACTTTTCAATTAATACATTCGAAAGAAACTTCCCTGTGGTGTCCTTTCAAACCCAGATGTCAGGCATGGCTGTGACACAGCCCCACAGCCTCCCGGCTCCACCCACCCACTGCGGACTGCACCTGGGCAGGGGCTTGGACCCCCCACGTCCTCAGGTCATTGCCCTGGCTGTAGACCTTGGGTTTGTGCTGGCACCTGTCAGGGTGGGAGGACTTGCACATGGCGAGGGAGAGGAAAAGGCTCTTTGGAGACAGTTTTCGTCTGCCAGGTGCTGCTTTTACACATGTCCAAAGTCAAAGGATGGTGCCTTTGAGGCTCCACTGGCTGAGGGCACAGCACCAACACCCAAAGGTCTGACTTTCCCTCCTCTCGTTTTCCTGAGACCTGGGCCCCTGCAGCCACCAAGGCCACACTTTTGGGTCCCTGTTTTCAGACCAATAGGACACAAAATGGAAACGGATACAATGGGCTTCCCAGTATGGCCTCTGCCAGTTGGGACCCAAAGAGTGGCTGTGGGTGAGACCTCAGATCCTGGCAGCTTGAGGTCCTCTGGGTGCAGCAGGTGCTCCCAGATGGCAAACTGAGGTCCGGCCCTCTTGGCAGCACCTGCCAAGGACTCGAGGCTCAGGGTCAGCACCTGGCAGGCCAGATAAGCACTCAGCTGCAGACCTGACAACATCGTCCCTCCCACCAGGCCTGTGGGATATCTGGTTCTCTTCTGGCCTCACCTGGGCCCAAGACACAGGAGCTCCTGGCAGCCCAAGATGGAATCCCTGTCCCTGTGCCTGCTGGGCAACCTGAGTGGCCAAAAGAGGTTGTTGTGTCCCAGCTGTGCCAGGCAGGGCCCTTCCCTCGGAGGAAAGCCCAGAACCATTCCAGTGAGCAGCCTGGGCAAAGACAGCAGGACCAGAGCCCTTTCCCATTCTCCTGATCACCACTCTCCCTGGAAAATGCTGTCACCAGGGCAGGAGCTGGGTTCAGTTTATGCTGGACTCTGCCCTACTGCAATCTCTGTCTAGGCATTTAGAGGCTCTGGCCTTAGGGAAACCAGAACATTACAAACCATCAACGGCCATCAGCGGCCTTGGGACAGATCTCTGGATCTAGTGAAGGAATATGGGCTGAGACTGTGGACTCTGCCAACTTTTAGGAGCAAATGTTCACAGTGGATGCTTGAGAACACAGGTGCCAAGTGCGTGCCCTCGGATTGAGGACTTCATCCCTTAGGGACCAACTGCTCCTGGGGATGGTGATACCGCCTGTTCATCCAGCTTGACCTGAGAAGTTGTGGCCTTGGAGCAGCTAGGATGGGAGAAGCAAACAGACCTCAGAGCCAGGTCGCAGTCCATGCCTCAGGCAGTGCCAGCAGTGGGGTGGTAGGCGTGTGCCCCATCCAGAGATGGCAGGGCTGGCCAGACCTGGGCCCAACACAGAAGATCGATCACCTCTAAGGCCTTGGGATGGCTTCAGGTGCCAGCCCAGTTCCCACTGCATCCACGGCAGCAAGCACAGCACAGAGCAGAAGAAACAGATGCCCAAGCCCCTTGTAGCCAGCATTTCTATGAATTCAGGGTGCAGCCAGTGGTGTGTGAAGTCACTCAGTGGGACACAGGCCACATCATCCCCACCGTGTCCCACCAGTGGCTTCCCACATCCTGACCTCCTCTTCCTCTCCTTCCAGGGAACAGTGGCAAAGGGCAGGCACCTCTCAGACACTGCACACCAGCCTTGGCTTCTGCCTCAACTGCCAGATGTGAAACAGAAAAGCAGCTTTAAATATATAATTTGTTAGAAAGGCGTCACTTGGTGCTTCTGAGCAATTCAATGATCAAGGGACCCAGGTGGATGTGCAATGAATTCCTATAAAATGGGTGTTTACCACTTCTGTTGAGATGGCTCCAAGACTGAACTCTTTCCTCACAGTAGGAAAGAAACTGGGGCTCCCTGTCCTGGACACACAGGGCTTCACAAGTCTCAAAGGATGACCACCATTTCCAAGCCGTGATGACTGGGCTTCGTAAATCAGAGTACACACAGGCTGTATGAACCACAGCAGATTCCCAGGTCAGGGTCCAAGCGGACTCTGGTGCCCTCATTGCTCCTAGCCTACCTCCGGTGTGGGGTGTATGGCCTCCTCCTTGTCATCTGTGCCCACAGCAGGGCTCCAAGGCAGAGTATTTGCTCAAATAAGGTTGAAGAAAGTGGGCCGCTGAGCTGGTTTTATGTCAGCAGCTTGGAAATGACAAGACCATACCTGTGCCCTGGACATGAGACCAAGGCATTGAACACCTGAGCTTGCAGTGGGGCCACTGCCCCCAAATGAACCCACAGGAGGTGGAAATGCATTCACTCCCCACTACAGAACATCATGGCTCAGCCCAGTCTGCCTTCTACATGCCTGGACATTCAGGCAAGGTCATTTCACACAAAGCCTATTTTACGATTGACTGAATACTGGACTGAGAGTTAAAACATCACCATGATAAAGTTAAACTTGTGAGTAGACCACTGTATGCCGGGGACTGACTGTATCCATGGGTCACTGCTGCTGTAACAAATGGTCACAGGCTAAGCAACCTTGTGCCATGTGAGGTCCCACTCTCACATGGTGGAAATCCAACAAGGTCTCGCTGGGCCAACAACAAGGTGTCTTCAAGCCTGACCTTCCAGATCTCTACAAAATCTGTCCCCTTGCCATCTGGACCCTACCTCCTCCACCTTCAGAGACCAGGGGTCCAGTCCTCACATGGGCGGGGATTTGATCATCTCTGCTGCTGCCTTCTCCTGCCTTCCAGGATCCTGTGACCACACTGGCTGGCTGGATAAGGAGGGATGTCCCCCTTCCTTCCCATCAGCTATTGGCTGGCTGTCTTGACTCCTCTCTGCCACCTGAGGTGATATATTCATGGCTTTGGGTGATTAGGGCAGGGAATTCCTGGGGAGTCATTATTCTGCTGTCCATAACACATCCTTGACCTAAGCAAAAAGGCTTTACACCCTAACAAAGCCAAGCAATGCCTTGCCACCAAGCACTGAGCAGGAGCAGAGTGGGCTATAAATTTATAGGGAGCAAGCCTGGGCCAGAGGGTTCAGCTTGGGGCCCTGTTTCCACCTAGCTCTCACTATTGTATACTGTCACTGATGTAGGTCAAGTCATAATTTATTACACATGCATAATTTCCTGGCCTAGGAGCCTCACAAACCTAAACATCAGGCAGTTGTCATCACCCCTTGGCATAGCCCCAGGAAGTGGGCTTGAGAAATGAGGAAGCTGAGTTTCAGCTTAGGTGAAACGGTCAACAGACATCAGGCTGTCTATCTGCTTGAAGCCTCCTGTGGCTCTGTAAGGAGCAGGCCCCTAAGGGCTCAGACTGTCTGGCACTGCCCCTCCCAGGGGGAGAGGGCAGGAGAGTCTTCTACCTGATGCCCCGTAACCTTCACAGCCCATAACTACTCCTCTTTGCAATCCCCAAGCAACCACTGGGATTTGGGTGCCTGGCATTGTCCACAGGGAAAGGAAAGTCCCCTTGGAAGGGGCTGGTAATGGGCCGTCTGGTCTACACGGCAGGTTGTGGCTTGGCTCAGACAAACCTGCTCTGCCCGACAGACCCACTCAGGGCCAGCAGATGGGACAGGGCCACCAAGCCTGTAAGCCAGGCCAGGCCAGGGAAAGGAGCAGCAGATGGCAGCGGCCTTGTGCTGCCAGGTGGAGAGGAAGTGCAGGAAGGAGATAAGGGAGAGAGACAGAGAGGGGGAGAGGAAAAACAAGAGGGGGAGGGAGAGAGAGAGAACATGACTTGTGCTATATGTGGGAGTATGTGGCATGGGTGTCTGTGTTACGTGTGCTAATGGGAAGTGTGTGAGGTGTGTAGTACCACAGGTGCACTGTGTGGTATGTGTGAGGTGTATGGCGTGTTTGGTGTAGGGTGTGCTTGTGGTGTATGGTGTGTGATGCATAGCGTGTGTGTACTGTGTGGTGTGTGGTATATGCAAACTGTGTGATGTATTGTGTATGTATAGTATGTAGTGCATGGTGTGTGTATAACGTGTGGTTTGGTGCGTCTATAGTGTGCAGTGCTGTGTGTGTACTGTGTGGTGTGTGGTATATGCAAACTGTGTGATGTATTGTGTACGTATAGTATGTAGTGCATGGTGTGTGTATAACGTGTGGTTTGGTGCGTCTATAGTGTGCAGTGTACGGTGTGTGTAGTGTGTAATGTATGGTGTCTATAGTGTGTAGTGTATGGAGTGTGTAAGTTATGTGGTTATTGTGTATGTATGATTTTATAGTGTGGTGTACAGTGTGTGTGTATAATAGTGTGGTGTATGGTACATGTGTTGTGTGTGGTGTATGGTGTGTGTATACTGAGTTGTGTATTGTGTGTGTGGGATATGGTATGTGCTCAGTGTGTCTGCAGCATTCACTGCCACCTGCGCACCCACCTGCGTGGAACATGCCCAGGCTGCCTGCTATGGGAGCCTGGTCTTGGGCTGCAGCCGCCGTATGGTCAGGGCATCGCCTCAGCCTGTCCTTCATGTTCTGATGTGACAGTAGCAGCCCAACAGCCAAGCAGGGCACCATCCCCTGCCACCCTGAGGTTCTGTCCCAGGTAGGGACACTACCTGATTTTTCTGTGTTTGTGCTAGTCTTGACAAATTTCCTGACAAGTCCCTTGCAATCCCAAATGCAGGAACCAAATGGGCTGGAAACTTGACATCAGCTCCAGGTCCCAGACTTCTGGAAGCCGGAGCCTACCTGCCTCGGAGCAAAGTGGCTGGGTGATAAGGGGTGCCTGGTGGACTAAGCCCCTTTCCCTGTACTCAGATGGGCTCCAGAACGCGGGTGCCTGGCACTTGACATAAAGGATACAGCCTGCACACCCTTACCTCTCCCTGGGCAGTGGCTTGGGCTCGGGGCGGATGGCAGCCATGGAGAGAGCTGCTTGCCGGGCAGGGGAGGAGCAGAAGTTCAAATCCAAGGAGCCTGTCTTCCTGTGCAGGGGCTCCAGCCCCATGGCCCCCCGCATCTCACTCTCAATGGGGCAGGAGCCTGCCCTGCCGTGGACAGACAGGGAGGACACATCAGGACCCGTGGCACCCAGCAGTGAAGTGTCTGTGGCCACCGGAGGGTCGTGGGTCGGGGAGAAGGATGGCGGGGAACGTGACTTCCTCCTGGTTGATGCCCCAGCCAGCAGCTTCAGCAGCCCGCTCTTCTTCTCTTTCTGAGGGGACACAAAGGGTAGCAGTGAGCCATTAGTGCTTCTCATGAAGAACTTTGAAGATGATTTTACAGAGCTGGTGAGAAGGAGACAGGTGAGATGGCAGCATTTTCCCTCCCTTCTCCAAGTCCCACGCAGACTCCAAGGCCCTGGGCAAGTGGATTAGGCCAGCTCCCGGGAAGATGCTCAGCTGCTGTCTTCACTTTCACAGAGCTCTCGCCCAGCCACCACCAGACACATGGTGGAGGAGTGTCCCACACAGCCTGCACCAAGGTGGGGCCTGGCACTCATGTCAAGTTCGGGCAACATCAAACAATTTCTAAGGAGACTTTGGGGTTGTATGGCCTGGGGGCTGGTGCCTCTGTAGGGTGTCCCATCTCTAGCTCCCTCCCCAGTTTGCACAGCGTCCTGTGCAAGCCCAGCAGCTGTCAACTTCCTGCTGTGTGAACTCACCCAGGCACTGGCAGCAGCAGAGGCCCTGTGCACTGCCTATATCCGGGATAAAGTGCAGGCCTGGCAGTCCCGGCATTCCCAGCCAAGGGCAGTCCTGGTAGTGCCCTCACTCTAGTATGGAGGGAGACCTGCTCCTTGGCACCTCTACTGTAGACATTCTCAGATATTTCCCTGGTAAATCCCTACCCTGCAAGCAGTTGCCCTTGTTCAAAGAAAGAGCTGCTCAGGATGTAGTCCATGGTTTCTCATGTACCAAAGAGGACCTGAAGGGTCTCACTCAGAGCCAAGAGGCCTTGGCACGTGCTCCTCAGGAATCCCAGGGTTTTACAGCCTTGTTCTGGGGACCCCAGTCCCCTCTCCTATTGCTGCTGCTCCCCCTGTCTTGGGGATGACCCTCCCACCCTGCAGTGGCCATTAGCAACATCCTGGCTCTAGGCTTTGAAGATGCTGTGGTTACAGCAGGCTCTAGATGGGTGCCTGAGGGCCAGGCTGATGCTGAGATGGCCCAGAGGAGGAAAGGCAGGGTCACTGGGCAGCCACACACCTCCCTGTGTGCCACTCAGGTACGTGCTGAGTCCACGAGCATCGTGATGTATAGTGGGTCCTGTCCTCAGCAGGGCCCATGGTGTCACTATGACATGGGATTGCGTGAGGGTAGAGCACCATAGCATCTGCAGGAGGCTGGGTGCTGTGTGCATGTGGGTGAGCACACACGTGTGCATGCATGCATGTGTATGCACATGGAAGTTAGTTCATGTAGCATGGAGCGACATCACGCACACCACAGAGGAGCTCCGATAATGTGGTTGTCCCGAATTTGGAAATCTCCATCTCACAGGGTGTAGGCTCTGATGTTCAGTGGGCATTCCACGGTGATCCATGGCAGAGGCCAGAAGTCTGAAACAGCCACGGGACCGGTGACGTCCACTCCAGAGTTTGCTTGGACCACAGACACAGTGGACAGGCGGCCTCCTCTCCTACCTCCCTTGCTGAAGTCACTTCGCACAGCTGAGTCCTGATGCCCAGGGACCTTAATCTGCAGAGAACCAAGCCCACGGAACAGGCCGATAGCTGAGGCACTTACAACCCTGGGAAGGAGGTCAAAACCTCATCAGCTTGGGGATGAAAGGACTGAATGCATATTTTTCACTATCAGGCAGACACTCCTGAGCTGAGATCCAGGAGTTGTCACAGCTGGAGGTTCAGGTCTGTGCTGACCCTCAGTGACCAGGATCACAGACAAGGTCCTCTGGGGCAGGGAGGCTATGTTTCAGTGTTGTTATGCATTAAAAACATACCTTCCCTTATTCTTTTGTGACACTTGTTTATTAACTAAACAATTTTCTTTTCCATTTAAGAGGGTAAACAAGCTATTCTGAAGGTGATGGTAAGAGGCACCCGAGGCAGGCCTAGACTCTGTAGGAGGGACAGCTAGGGCGAGTGGGTGATACAGACCATAGAGGTGAGGGTCGGGAGACGTAAAAGGAACAGATGTAGAAAAAAGCAGGTGTGGATAGTTTTGTGTGGCTCCCAGGGCAGGAGCAGGAGTGGAGAGTGTGCCTAGGGCCTGGAAGGCTGGCTGAGGGGACAGGAGGGCAGGGCATGAGGACATGATGTGGCCTATGGCAATGCTTACAGTTGTGTCAGCTGAGCAGGGATGGTGGGCTGTGGGTGCTGAGGAAGGTGGCTCAGGGACAGTCGTTAGGACAAGGCACAGCATGTCCTGCCCTCTGCCTGTGTGGCTTCCAGTCTTGATGCTACCAAACCCAACCCTAGTGCTCACTCTCTGGCTATCAGTTCATTAATATCAATGTTTTGGCCAACCCAGCAGCATGCTAAGGAGTTTAGAAGCATGAGTTTAGAAAGAGGGTCAGGTGATTCTCAGAGGCCATCTACAGCCACAGGCCACCAGTCCAGGAAGGAAGTGCAAATCATCCCCAGTGCCTATGAGAGTGGCCCAGGCAGAGTCAGGAGCTCCTGAGGCCCGATGCACTGGAGACTGGACCAGCAATGCTCTGAGAAACACAGGACACAAGGGTCCAAGGGTGACACAAATGCTTCTCTTGCTCTCCGGCTCAAGGCAGCAAGTTACACTTGGAAGCTTTTTGATTATTATTTTATGTTTGGAAACCTTCCTGTTGGAGATGAGAAAGGGTAATTACAAGCTGTGCACTGCTGAAATTTTAATGGAGAGAGGGCACATCTCTGGTTCTACTTGAAAACAGATCTGGGAAGAGAAGAGGTTTAGAACAACATAAATATGCAAAGCATTTTCAGAAGGGCAGAGGACAGAAGATCTATAATGGATAAAGAGGAAGAAGTTAACAAGCTAATTAAAAGAGATAGAAAACTGTGCTCAGAGCTGCTGGGTATTTCAAATATTAAAACATTTTCAAAAAATACTGCCCTGGAAAGAGACAGAATGTAACAAAGGACTGGCTAGGAAACAGCGGGCAACAGGAGGCTATGAAGACCAGTGCGGGTCTTACTGTGAGCTTCTCTTACTTCTGTGGGTGTGAGCAGGTTGCAGTCTGTGTGCTCTCCTCTGCTATTCTTGTGGCATGGATGGGACTGTTCTGCAGAACACTGTGTGCACCATTACAGTAGCCACACAGAGCTGTCACTGCATTTCACAGCCAAAACAGGTGGAAAGGGGACCCATGCTCACAGCATTCGTGCTCTTACCACCCACCCTGTTTCTTAAAACAGGGGCCAAGTGATGGGGGCCTGGCCCTATAAGGACAGCTGCAGTGCCAGCCAGGTGATGGTGCCCGCAGGAAGGTAAAGGCTCAAAGACCATTTCAAGTGCTCAGCTCTGGCAGAGTTTGTGCTGCTGTTTCTCCAAGTGGGGTCTCCAGTCTAGAAATCAGGGTGGAAAAGGAGGGTACCGCTCACCACAACTGTGACCGCAGACAGCTTGGCATTCTGAGTCACCACCCACCTCCTAGGAGTCACTGAATTATTGTTTTCTCCACTGAAGAGTTGCTGGTTACTACTCATTGTCCACCTCCAAGAAGTTACTACCAGTTACTAGTTATCCTCCTGGAGTTACTGGGTACTGGTTATAGCTCCCCCCCACAAGGCGTTACTGGTTCCTAGCTATTCTCCCACATCTGATGAATTACTGGTTACTAGTTACTCCCTGTGGAGTAACAAAACCCTTACAGCTATACATGCTTCTCCATTTCTAGGTTTTTTTTTCCCACTATTTACAACATGAATTTGGTTCAGTGCTTTGCAGTTGAAGCTGCACTTCTGATGAAAACAGTTTTCTTCAGTTCCTTCTATTGTCAGGATAAACCCAAGATAAACCTTAAAGCCCTTTTCTACCTGTGTTCCCAGGTCAACAGGGGAACAAAGACCCAGGGGCAGCTCCTGCTGTGATTGGGAGATGAATAAACATGGCATAATGTGTGCTCCAGCAGGTTAGCATTTATGTTTGAGTAGCCTGACAACTCTCAGTTTGGTGTGGATAAGCACTTCATTTCCTAAAGGTGCAAACTCAAATCCCTTTTGATCTTTTATAGAAGCCTCAGGATATAAATTCTACTCTCTGCCTCATAATTTGTATGGGATCTTTAGTCAACTATCAAATTCTGAATAAATTTCTAATACTTTGTCCTGAACACTATGCTATGCATTGGTGAGATTAACTAATTCACCCCAGGAACTGATGTGTGGGAGGGGACTGTCGGAAGCCTCTCTGTGTTACCTGTACCCAGCTCCTGGAAATCGTGAGTCACAAATATGCCTGTAACTCACAGCACATGCATCTATAGTGAAAGGCACATGTTACACGGGATGGTGATTTTTTGTTTTTTTTGTTTTGTTTTGTTCTTTTCATTTTTAACAAAACTCCGAGTGTGTCATGAGAATGGAAACTCTTCTGCCTCCAGATTATCACCAGATGACTTCCTCAGGGGCTGTGGGCTAGGGGCTCTGAGACTCTTAGAGAGTTTTCTATCTGGGTACAGCACACACGACCCCAGGGTGCCACACTAGCCATGTGTCCACATGCTGACCCATCCTAGCACTGACCCACCCTAGCCCAGCACTGTCCCTCTGTCCTACCCGACAAACATAGGAATGTCGGGCTGAGTCCAGGAGATGAATCATCTGGAAGCTGGAGGTTAGAGGAAGCTGCAGAGAGATCAGAGGAAAGGCACCCACGCCCCCATGAACATCAGCACCCAAGAGAGCTTGAGGTGACTGCCAGGCATCCATGGTGAGCTGGCACAGAAGGGCTGGCTGCCCAAAAGAGGAGAGATAGAGGTTCGCAACAGAGGGGCATGTCTGCCAGCATCCTCCTACCAGCCATGACTCCTTCCTGCCAGGCACCAGGCAGAGCAGAGGGCTGCAGGGCTGCAAGGAGCCTTCAGGAGGGGTCCTGAGTCCCCTCCCACCCAGGGCCCTTCTCCTTTGGGCCACAGTGATCTCTGCTCAGGCTATTGTCAGCTAAAGGTACTCCCACCCATCCCTCTGCTACCAGCCCCTTCCTGAGGATTCTGGTTGCGCCTGAAGACCCATAGTTTGCCTAGCTTTCATTGGCTGTGTGCTTATAGGGCAGCGGTGGGGGTGTCATGACTCCCACATGCCTGATTCAATGCCTCAGAACTCAGGGCCAGGTACATGAAAGCCAGTGATGTCCCACAACCTGGAGAGGGGAATTGAGGGCAAAGAACAAGCTGCACTTGAGAGTGAGCACAGCCCTCTCAGCAAGCCTGACTCACTTTCCTCAGCAGTCAGGGGCCAGAGCCCTCCCTGTGTCTCAGAACCAGGCCTAAAGTGAATGGGCCCAGCCGATTCTCAGGCAGACATGAGCCCAGAGCAGCCATCTCTCCTCAGGCAGCACCAGAGGCCTTGACAGAGGCCCCTCCTCACTCGTGAGCCTGGGAACAATGTCATGCTGGACAGGATGGTGAAGCAGGTGCTCAGGCCTGGCTCCACTGAGAAGGGCCTGTGAGGAAAAGGGCCTGTGAGCACAGCCAGCCGCCCTGGAGGGGACAGAGGCCTGGAGCCAACACTGAGTGTGGCACACCTGGGAGAGGAGTGCAGCTCTCACCTGACACATCTAACTCCAGCTGCCCGGCCAGCACATCCGATCCAAAGACTGATTCCTTACGGTACAGCAGCAGAGCCTCAGAACTTGGGAAATCGAGGCAGAAGGGTCCCCACATGGGAGGAACCCCAGACAGCTGTGCAGCATGTGCCAGGCACCACAGACTGCCTGCTGTACTCCGCAAAGGCTAGCAGAAGCTGAGTGGAAAAGGAAAGGCCGGCAACTCACCAATGTTTATACAGACTGCATGTTGAAACAAGCAAGAATATTTTGTTTAATGGATTATGATACTGAAGTGAATTTCACCTTTAATTCTAAAATTTTACTGTTAAAAAATGTGGATACTGGAAAATATATGTTAAATCTGTGGCCAGTATCCTATTTCTACTAGACACACTGATTTAGAAGTATGGATTCTAATCCTGGATGGTCCGGTGTCTAACTGGCTGGTCAGCTCAGTGGACTGTTTCCTTTATGAAATCAGCCCAGCATCCATCACAGCTAAAAGAATAGCTGAAAATGCTGTCCACACCAATGATTGGGTTGGCACACTCCTGTCTCCTCATTTCTCCTTAGGAAACAGCCTGTCCCATATGGTTGAACAGGCTGTGCACTACGCAAGAACTACACATTCGAATGAGGGGTGCTGTTCACAAGCGCTCACACAGATTTTTATCTCACTGCTATATTCTCCCAGCACATGGCAATAAGGATCTTGTTCTAACGAAGTGAATATAATACACTGATTTTTTTCTACAGAGGGAACTAAGCTGTGTGAAGGAGGGAACACCGTTATCTGATTTGCTTAGAACCTGTGGCTGCCTCATTTTGGCCATGGCCACCTCCTCCAGCCAGCTTCATTCTTGGTCCGGCCTCTGCCTGTCTCAGGCCTGTTGCAGTTGAGAGAGGAACCCAATGCCCTCATGCAAGCCTTCACTGAAAGGCACCACTGGCATCTAGTGCCAAGGATGCCTGAGATGTGCGCTTACCTTTTCACCTCTCTTGTCCTCCAGTCTACACCCAGTGCTGGTAGGGCTGGATGTGGACAGGCCCCCACCGGAGCCCCCACTGGCATCCCCGTTCAGGCTGGTGGTGCTGACAGTGGGAGGTGTGACGGCCGACGTGGCGGAGGTGAGGGGGATGGCTGGCCGGGAACTCGTCTGAACTGGGGACTGCTGGCCAGGCTGCGGGGGCACCACAGAGCGGGGCCTGAGGCTGGTGGTAGGCAGGCGAGACGGGGAGCTCTGAGTGCGCAGAGGTGTCACGGTGGCGGTTGGTCGATCCTGAGTCTGAGTAGAGGGGTGCGCAGCTGGGGTAGGTATGGAGAGACAGTGAGTGGATGGTTTAGTCTGCAACCTGCTGCGCACCCAGCACCCTTCCTCTCAGTGTGGCCTCTCCTTTTGGACCTGGTCACCAGCACAGATCCTCCTGCTCAGGAGAAGAGACTGCGGCTGGGAGACTGTGAAGATGTACTCTCATCTCTTCAAAGCCCAGCCTTGCCCCAACTCAGAACAGCTCTTCCTTACGGGAGCTAAGTTTCCCAGGCTGCCGAGTAAGAGTTCATTCCCAGTTTCTGTGATGCACTTTGGATCAGCATATTTCCATTCCTACAGCAAAACACCCGGGGTTGGGCTCAGTGAGTCCACAGGCCTGGAGGCTTAAGGGGCCAGAGCCTGTGTGAGCTCAGGTATCATGAAGTCATGGCAGATCCATCTCAGGGGAGGGTCCACTATGGTGGAGGATCCATCACGGGGAGTCTGTCAAGGTTGAGGAGGCACCATGGTGGTGGATCCATCAAGGGAGAGAAAGCACGACAGGGATCCATTACAGGAAAGGATCCATCAGTCGAAGATTTATTAAGGGGGAGGATCCACCATGAGGAAGGCTCCATCACAGTGGAAGATTCATCATGGGGGGAGGATCCATCACAGGAGAGGACCCATCATGGAGGAGGACCAGACTGCGAGCAAGGGCCAGGCTTGCTCTTTTAACAATGAGCCTCTCTCAAGAACTTCCTCAGGATCACAGGAGAACCAACTTCATCCCTTCCTTGGGGAGCACCCTATGACTACTGACCCCCAACTGACCCCACCTCTTAAAGAACACACCAACATCATGCACATGTGGAAACTCAGGGTACAAATCATGCCCACACTCCATCTTCTAACTGGTTTTCTGTGCTATGACAAACGAATGTATTCCCAAGATTTAAAAAATATCTTGGTTAAAATCCTCACAAAAGTAAAGCCTGGGAAAGCATCTCAGAGAAGCCTTCAGATGGCCCTGGGTAATGGAGCAGCACTGCACACCAGCTGGTCCTGGTCCATAGCTGGGCTCTGGTTAGCCCTGACCCTTGGTTTCCATACTGGGCTTACTTAGGCAGGGACAAGAGCATGAGAGAGTTTTGCTGGTGATAATCACAGGAGGATTAAGGGCATGTGAAAACTAAATTAGCCCATTGATTGGCTTAGCATAGTTCTGGGTGGAGATAGTGGGAAGGCCCAACTTGGGTGAGGTGATATCAACCAGTAGGCTTGTAGCCTGAATGGAATATAAGGCGAAAAGAAGGAAGGCAGATTTTCTGCTTGTTGCTTTTTGCCTGGCCTGCCATGCATGGTTTCTCCTCTGCTAGGCACCTCTGTCATGCTACCCTGCCTTGGAACCAGTGGACAAAGACAGAAACCTCTGCAAACTATAAGCTAAAGCAAATCTTTCCTCCTTTAATTTATGGGCAGTTGTCCCCCCAACAAGAAGGTAACTAAGACACGGTGTAACTAGATGTTACATTGTGCTCTCCAGGGAATGAAGACTAGAAAAAGCATCTGTACCCATTTACCACAGACACAATTATCGCTCACATATTTTAGATCCATGATTGACTGAAGCCACAGACATGGAACTCATGGAACAGAAATACACAGAGAAATACAACTGACTTTTTATATTGATTTTGTGTCTTCAACTTTGCTGAATTTATTTTAGCTCTAGGTTTGCGTGTGTGTGTGTGTGTGTGTGTGTGTGTGTGTGTGTATGTATGCACTTTCCTTAGAGTTTTCTATATATAAGATTATGCTGTTTGCAACTATAAATGGTTTTACTCCTTCCTTTCCATTCTGAACACCTTCCTTCTCTCACCCAGCCCAGCTAGAACTTCAGTACTGAGCAGAAGTGAGGACAGCAGAACATCCTCTCTCATTCCTGAGCTTGGGGAAAAACTTTAGTCTGTTGCCATTATGATATCATCTGTGCATTTTCACAAAGCCTTTTATGAGAGTGAAGAAGTTCATTTTTATTATTCATTTTCTGGGTTTCTTAAATCAAGGATGGATACTAGTGTCTGCACTATTGAAACAGTCATATTATTTTTTTGTTTGTTAATGAATCAAATTACATTGACTGTCAAATGTTAATCCAAATTTGCTTTCCTGGAATAAGCCCTACTAAGTGTATTATCCTTTTTACTTATTGATATATTTGATTTGCTAAAATTTTGTTTAGAATTCTTATGTCTGTTTATGAGCATATTTATCCATGGTTTTATTTTCTTGGGATGTCTAGTATTAGCATTAAGGTAATGCTGAATATATAGGAAAAGACAGAAAGTATTCTCCCTTCTTTTCAATTTTCTAAGCATTTCCATAGAATTGTTATACTTTCTTCCCTAATTATCGTACATTAATCATTAATGATATCACCCAAGACTGGACTATTCTTTGTGGAACCTTTTACAATGAATTTCTTTAATAGATATGAGCTATTCAGATTATTTATTTCTTCTTGAGTAGATCTAATAATTTGTGTCTTTCAGAAAATATTTTAATACATCCATTTCTTCTAATTTGTTGAATATGTTTGCATGAACATTTTAAGTATTTTCCTGAAGAATCTGAAACAATGTCATCTGTTAATCTTTTTTTCCCCCTCCGGTACTGGGGATCAAACTCAGGACCTTGCATTGCAAGGCAGGCATGGTGCCACTGAGCTAAATCCCCAGCCCTTTTATTCTTGATAGTAATAATATGTGTATCTTCCCCTTGTTTTATCTGCCTGCTAGAGATGCATCAATTTCATTACTGATCTTCTCAAAGAACCATCTGTTGCTCTCATTGTCTCTCTCTATTGTGTTTTGCTATACTGATTTCTGCACTTATCTTCTATTCCCTTTGTGATCGCTTTGCTCTTTTCATCTATTTTCTTCAGGTTCAAACCAATGCCACACATCTGACACTTTTTTCCCTTGATTTTTGAGTACAGATGTTTACAGAGAGGATTGTTAGTGGCATCTCACAAGTTTTGATAAATTGTCTTCATTTCACGCAGCTTGAAATTCTAATGTCATTTTTATTTTTTCTATGTTCCACACATTATCCTGAAGTATGTTTACAAATATTTGAAAACTTCAAAAACATATTTGTAATTATTTATGATACTGATTTCTAATTCAGTTCCACTGTGGTAAGGAATGTAGTTTGTGTGACTTAAATCCTTTTATATATATATGTGTTGAGATTTAAATATTATAGCTCAGAGCCATTCTATGTGCATTTAAAAAGAATACATATTTTGATGTTGTTGGATGAAACTTTCATTCCCTAAATGTCAATTAATTCAAGTTGGTTATAGTGTTATTTTATATTTCTACCAATTTTTCTGTTTACTTGTTCTATCAGCTGTTTAGAGAGATGCTGAAATCTCTGCTTGCTATTGTGAATTTCCTATTTCTCCTTACAGCTTTGTCTGTAATTGCTTATACATTTCGAGCTGTATTATTTAGTGCCTAAATATTTAAGATTGTTATGCCCTCTTAATTAATTGACCCTTTGACATTATGAAATTGTCTTTTTTATCATCCCTCATAATATTCTTGGGTATAAATTCTACTTTGTTCAGAATTACTCGAAACATAGCCACTCCAAATTTCTTTGGATTTATGTTAGTATGTTTGAGCCTCATTATTGGCAGATTCTGTATTTGCAAATACTGTGTATGGTTTAGATTAGAAAGGTCCCCCGAAAGTCTCATGTATTTAGGGGTGGGGCTTTTGGAAAGTGCCTGGATCATGGGATGTTATACTTATCAGTGGACTGACCCATCGGTGAGTGCATGACTGAATGTGCTATTAGGAGGTGGGTTCTGGTTGGCAGTAGGTCACAGGAAGTGCTACTTAGAAGATGCATTCTTGTCCCCAGCTCCTCTCTTCTCTCTGCTTCCTGGCTGCTCTGGGTTGAACAGATTTCCTCTACCATGTTCTTCCACCATGCCGTTTGGGTCTTAGAGCCAACTGAACATGGTCTGAACACAATGAAAACTTGTGAGCCAGATAAACCTTTTCCTTTAAGTTCTGGGTATTGAGTATTTTGTTCCAGCATTGGGAAAGGCACACTTTTACCAGCTACAGTTGGTTTAAAACTCCCAAACCAATGCCTGTACTACTGTCACAGTCACATTCACACATATTCAGAGTTGCCAACAATTTAAGTTGCCCGAATTAAGGTGCCCGCCCAGCTGAACATAAAACAAGGTTATTCTGCCTTTGGTCTCAGCCCTCAGAACAGCCAAGGAGGGTGGTGGGGGTATGGGTAGCAGCTCTGGCTATGGGGTCAGCTGGATGGGTCTGAATCACAGCACAGAACCTGTTGGGGATCACTTCAGGCCAGTCAGTTGGCACTGCTGAAGCTTGTTTTCTCTACTGTAAAATAAATGGGATCAACAAGGACAAGATCAGAATTTATGTAAGGTGTGGGCACACACAATCTCCCTAAGTGGCATCCACTTAGCCTTGATGGTAACTTCACAGAACCCAAGGCCATGAATGATAGAGATATGCATTTCCTGTCTCTTCCCTTTACTTTTAACATATTTGTTTTTAAAGTATTAAAATATGTTTCTTGTTCACATGTAATTTTTGTTTGTTTTTGTTTACTTGCTTTTAAATATCTGGCCATCTAACCTTAATTCTACTTGGGGTTATTTAGACCCTTACATTTAATGCAATTGTTTATACAATTAGGCCAAATCCGGCTGTATATTTTCTCTTTGGCTCATATTCCCAGTGTTCTCCTTCCCCTCTTTTAATCCTTTATTTTGTATTGATTAAATTCCTATGATTCCATTCTATCTCCCCAGCTAGCTTACTTGCCGGGACTCTGTGTTCACAGTTAGTGTTTGCTGATGTCTTTAGTTTACTGGCCTCCTTAGCACAACCTTCCATGCAGCACAAAAGTCCTGTGATGGCACAGGGCCTTCTAGGTCTCACCCCAGCTCTGTGCTTTGCTATGGTACATTTTACTCCCACGTATGTTTCAGGTC